CATAGCTTTCATTAGCGTAGCAAATTTAATCAAAGTCAAAAGTTATAATGGAACATGTAGAAACATGAAATACCAGTGGTTAATTAGAAACAGCTACCTCATTTTGGGTGTAAATAATTATGTACAAACTTCATTTATGAAGAAACAGAAATGATGACCCTCTGTAAGAAAAGTCTGCACACCAATTGTCCTATCCAGCCGTGTTTAAGGACCTGAGTGTCAGGACGGGATGTCAGGAGGCCTCGCCAGTGTAACCCATGAGCTCCAGGAGGCGTATTTCTAACACTAATACCACCCAGAAGTGAGGGACAATAGGAACAAATGAGATATTTGGGGAATCAGGTTCCTAAAGAGAAGCAGAAAATATGTTTTGAAGAGCACAGGTTCAAGTCAGACCGGTTTGGATGCCAGTTTGCCTCTGTGGCTAACTAGCAAGGTAATCTCAGCCAATTATTTTCTCTCACTGAGCTTATTTGGTCAACTGTAAATGGAGAGAAGAAAAAAAAAAAACACCTCCCTCACAGAGATGTGGTGAGAACATAAGTACACACATATGCCCATGCATATAAATTATTTCACATGGTATCTGGTACACGATACATCTCAATACATAGACTATTAGCATTTATTTTTACTAAGTGCCAGACTGCCCCCAAAGGTGATCCCACCCAAAACCTGACCCTAATTAGAACTAACTTAGACACAACTGTGATCCAAGTAGAGTTTCACTTAATTCAAAGTCCATTGTCAACACAATTTCAAAGACCTGAATGGGCAAAGTCCTTCTAATCAAATAAATATTGTTCTGCTAATTCCCAAATCTGAATTGCTGACATATTACCAGGCTCTGCAACAGAAGGTCCTTGCTCTTGGCTTTCATACCCATCAACAGAATTGCACCCACGTTTACCTCTCAGTATTAACAAGTACACAAACTTGAATGAGAAATGAGGCCAGATCTTTGAATAATACAGCCAATCATGAGCTGCTATATTTTTTTTAAATTCGAGAACATACACCATTCTGGAGTAGCCGGCACCCCAGCTTGGAGGCATAATTTCTCTTCCTTTGCTTTATGAGACTCTTATATTTTCTAGATAAATCTATTTACTTCACTAAATAAAACATTCATTCCAAACACGAAAATAATGCATCACCAAGAAAATATTTCTAAAACTGAATTTAAGATTAAAAATTAGTGGGGGGGCTGGAGTGATAGCACAGCAGGTAGAGTGTTTGCCTTGCATGCAGCTGACCCGGGTTCGATTCCCAGCATCCCATATGGTTCCCCGGGAACCGTCAGGAGTAATTCCTGAGTGTGTGAACCAGGAGTAACCCCTGTAGACCACCGGGTATGGTTTCAATTTGCAAAAAGCAAAAATAAATAAATAAATAAAATAAAAATTAGTGGGTCAGAAAGATAGTTTAGGGGTTAAGGTGCTTGCTTTTCTCATAGCTGACTTTGGTTTGAGATCCTCAACACCATATAATGGTCCCAAGTAATCCCTGAGCACAGGATCAGGAGTAAGCCCAGAGTACTGCTGAGTGTAGCGCCAACACACACACACACACACACACACACACACACACACTCTAAAAGTAAACTGGAAAAGCCTCCAAAAGCAGAAAGTTAGAATGTAGTATTTTAATTGCATTCTTTTCATAAATTGACATATGCAACCCACATGACACCATCACAGGTGATAAAGAACCTTTAAGACTATCTCCTCTAACAAAAAGAAACAACAGAAAACATATTGATGTTGGAAAACATCTAAAACTTCTAAAATTATTAAATTCTAAACCTCATAAGCATATTATGAGAACATATGAATACACATATATTCATGTGAACAAGTTATCTGCCATTTTCGACTTTTAAAGACACTTGCTATTTCAAATTTTGCTATTCTTCTACCAAAATTAAGGATTATATAATGCGATTCCCTCACATTTTTTATCTATGCATGCTAATTCCTTTCTCTTCAGTGTCTTCTGTTATTATTTGGTATCAATTTATAACAGAAAAAGTCATATCTCCACACAAACTGCCCCAAAATAAAGCACTATTTTAGCTTAACTTCTAATACCTAGAAAAATCTAAAGAGATAACCAAATCTAAAGAGATAACCACCCAGTTTTCACAGTGAAAGAAGAAAAAAGATTTCTGACACACAGAAAAGGGCTTATGTTCTCTGCTCACTTTTTTATAAATTTCCTCTAGCCATATCCTCAGATACAGCTGAATTTTCTACAGCAAATTGAAACGTAAATCATAATAAAAGGTTAAGTTTCTGCAACAGAAGCCACTGTCATTTCCAACAATGCAACTATTGTTCAAAGAGTCAAACAGATTCTTGGATGCACAGTGGTGAAGCAAGGATGATGGGGGGGGGGGACTGAAGAGAGGTAAGAGTACTTAAAGGAATTTATCCATCACTGTATTTCAGTTTATAATGTAATAATACTACACTTTCAATGTAGAAATACCATGTCAAATCTGGTTCTCATTAAATGAGACAGCCTTAACCCCATGGAACATATGCAGAAAAGAATACATCTGATTCACAATCAGTCAACCTTCCATTACTCATCTATGCTATATGACCCTGCAATTTCCCCTCAATGGGAGTCTTTTCTTTTCAAACCCCAGGGAATACTGTAGATGCCACACTCCAATTTAAATGACTCCAAGAAAATTACAGTGAAAATAATGGCTGATTTCATCCAGGGAACTTGTATTAGTAAAAATCAAAAACCTGATAAAGAGGTGAAAAATCCCCACTATATGTCCCTAAGTCGTGACTAAATCACAAATCTGGGGAGAGGGGAGAAAAGGAATCCTTTCAAGAAAAAAAACCAACCAACCAACCATAAACGCCTACTTCCAATTATTTTTTAATATGTCAAGTGATTTTTTTTTCTCTAAGCTTAGGAAATAAAATCTGAATACGAGACTGCTTTTTTCACATATAGGCATTTGTCAAATTAACCGCTGGATTATATTAAAATGGTCAGACAACTCAAAGGGACTTGGCATCCTCTCCAATGGAAGACACCCCCCACCCCCCATATCCCCTCCTAACTCCCCTGAAACAGCCGACTATTTAACAATCTTGGAATAATTAACTTCATTCAGCATGCTTCTTTTGGAGTTCTATTATTTAATACAGCCAAACTAAAACATTTTTCCTAATTAGGTTTCCTTGTACTTGTGAAATGCTCAGTATACACTGTGCTGGCAGCTTTAGTTCTACAGCTTCTCTCTCCTGGCTCCTCCCCCCTCCACCCAAGGGGGGGGGGGAAGATTTCCTTCCCAAATGTTCTCTTCTCTGCATTTGTCAACAGAAACACCCACTGGTGGTATCAAACTGGTAATACTGCTGCAGGCTTCCTTACTCCTGTTCCAGTGTCAACGCCAAAAATGCTCAAACATAAAATAGTACTTTTAATAAAGAAATCAAAAGGCTGGCTAAAGGTACTCAAGGATCGTGTCCTTTAAAAAGAAAGACACACCTTCTAAAAAATCTATTATTAAGGAACCCTAATTGGATTGTTGAATGCAAGATTACATTAAACAACCCTCCCCCCACCCCGCATTTAAGCACTAGACCATACAGGGGCAAGGAAACATAGATTCTTAACATTTTACAAAGAAAACATGTTCAACGCTCAAAGGAACGCCAAAGAAATTAACATGTAAATGTCATTCATGTATAATGCCGAATAGCCTCCTCCGTTATAGATGTCTTTTCTGTAACCCCACACAGCAAGAAAGGAACGAGCTGGAAACGTTCCAGATGTTACCTAAAACAAGAATCCTATTCTATACATATTTATGTCTCCTGTTTCAGTCGAACGCGCTCGGGCAAATTAATTTGTGTCCTCTTTTACATGAATTCCATAACCACGAACGCGCAAACAACCCCAATTCCGATGCGCCGAGAGAAATTGTTCGGTGTCGGCAATACTTTCGAAAATCAGCTTACATTCCAGCCAATTAAAAGAGATCGTGTGAAAGAGAACGCTGATCTGCAACTACTTTCATATCCCGGGATCCGTCTAATCTCACCCCAGAGATCCTTAAGGTCAGGCTTGGCTTCCTCGGGCATCTATCTGTGCGCTAACACTCAAGTCCAGCGAAAAAATAACCCCCTCGAGGAAGATCTGCCTTGACCCTGCAATCGGTTCGGGGGGTTCTTCTGGATCGCCACCCCCCACCCCCCAACGCGGGCTCCCAACGTGCGGATGCGAACAGGACCTCTGCGTGGGGCGTGGGAGAGATGGTGTCAAGCCCCAGGATTTCGTTGCTCTAAGGGTCCAAAGGGACGAAGGTCTGGGAAGGAGCCAATTTCACCTTCTCCCCGCGGAGCCAGCCGTGAAGTTTCACAGCAGCGCCCGAAACTTGTTCCGGAGAGACTGGAGGTGCCCGGGGCGGGCGCCGGGTCGCGCGCCCACCGCCGCGGGCAGCCAAGGTCAGCAGGGCCGGCGCGGCGGCTGGCCGTCCCCGGCGGGTCCCGGGCTCCCCGGCTCCCTCGGAAGTCGGGCGCGGGGCTCCAGCGCGCCCGCAGCGGCGGCGGCGGCGGCGGCGGCGGGCAGGGGCTTCCCTCACTGCAAGCCCCCGGGAGCTCGCGCCGCGGGGCGACGGGGCGGGGACGCTGCAGACCCGCCGCCGGGGGAACCTCGCGGGCTGGCCTCGATCCGCCGCCCCTCCTCGCCCCCTCCCGACACCCCGCAAAAAAAAGGCAACCCCAGCCTCTCCCCCGGGCAATCTTTCCAAAGGCGCCGCGGGTCGCACCCAGAGCTCCTGGCGGACCGGAGCGCCTTAGCGGCTTCGCCCGGTGTCAGGGAGCCGGCGCCGCCGCCCCTTCTCACGTTGGCCCGGGGGGAGATCGGGGGGTCGCCCCGAAACGGAGACACACAGAAAGAAAGGCTGGAAGGGGACGGGACAGACGCCAGGGCAGGGATGCGCGGAGAGAGGGTGGCGGCGGACTACTCACCGCGCCGAGTTGCCCACCTCCGCCCGGGGACCGCGCCGCTCCAGAAGCCCCAGTCGCCGCCGTACCTTCCCCGGCGGCAGCGACAACTAATCGAAACCCCCGACCCCGCCCTCTCACTAAGGCGAACGCGCAGCCTAATTTGCTAACTGCCCCGCCCCGGCCGGCCAGCGCGGGCCAATAAAGAAGCTCCTCAAAACTCGCCAGGTCCCGCCTCCGCCCCGCCCACTTCCAGCCGCAGCCAATGCCGAGAGAGCGCTCGTCCTCGGACTCGGGCTCGCGCGCTCCTCCCGCGCCGCTGCTCCTCGCGTCCCCGAGGCCGAATACCGCTGATTCCTTGTATAAGCTTCCCCCTGCGCGCGCACGCGAGCGCCGCGCCTCCTCTCACTCTCCAGGTTTGGTTGCCCCGCCAGGCCCCGGCAACCTGGGCTGGGCGTCTAAGGAGAGGCGGGGCCGGGACTCGAGCTCTCGCCGGGAAGGAGGGGAACGCGTGTTGGGAGTGAGATCGTGACTGGGAAAGGGGCGGCTGCGAGGATCGGGGAGGGGGGGTGGGGTGCCGAGGAGGCACGGGGATCCGCCTGTCACTGCGGATAAAAAGGGGGAATCCTGCCTGCGGCACAGCTATCCTGGGCTCTCTCGGGAGGGACACGTGTGGGGTGGGAAGTAGGGAAGGGAGGGGCCGCGGAAGTGGGAGAGAGCGCATTGGGGCTGGAGCCCGAGCACTACTCGAAGTGTAGGACGGACAACGGTTTCTCTCTCGTTAGTAGAAATAATAGGAATGATAATAATACCGTCCAAGTCCATTGCTGCTGCTGCTGCTGCTGCTGCTGCTGCTGCTGCTGCTGCTGCTGCTGCTGCTGCTGCTGCTGCTACCCAACTGTTGGGGTTGTGCGTGCACGACGTACATTCATTCTTAAGACTGCGGTCCCTAGGGGGAATTCGGACCACAAAACTACTAGCTTGAGGATTCCTGACACAGCAGCTGGATGCGTGCAAACGGGCTGCTTGATGTATGCAAGCGGCAGCAGCAACCCACAGCTCCGCTTCGGTCCAATGCTCCCCAGCTGGCATGAAAGCAATGAAGTCATCGCCCAACCAGTGGAAATGTAAAGATCTTAATACCCACCACGGATCAGGTTTTCAAGGAGATTGAAGAGGGGTGATGAAAAGAAAAGGAGAACCATTACCAACCCTACTTTGGGAAAATTAGGGAAAATGTTTTTGAAAGACATTGTGAGCAAATCCATATAAACCTGCAGGAAAATTTCCACTTGAAAATGCAAAGGAAAATAGGGTGCTTCTTTTCTTTCTTTCTTTCTTTCTTTCCTTCTTTCCTTCCTTTTATTTGGAAAAGCACAGAAAATAGACAGCGTATGAGGTCATAACAGCTACCAAATTAGAAATATGCAGTACTGTAATGGGAAATGGATATCTTGGATAAAATCCATTTCATCTATCCCTGCCTTGAATCTGGTGACAATATGTAGCAATATGCTGGTTTTGGCCACTTGGTGCCAAGCCAATAGGGTTTTCTTTTTTCTAACATGGTGAATATTTGACAAGGAAACGGAGGTGCCCACTCTTCAGCTTTTCAGGAAACATTAGAAAATCGCACAGATAGGAACAGTGAAATTAGCAGTGAGGGAAAATGGAGTCAGAGGCAACAGCAAAAAGCTTTGCAGTCTCCTGCCTCCCTCCTTCAGATGCAAAGTAACAGTGCTGTGACTTCAAGCTTCTCCCACATGGAGTCAGAATTCCTGGAGCAATCACTTCATTTTTAGTTCTGTGTCTTTGTCCCAGGAATTGCAGCAGCATTTACCTTTGGATCAAATGAAGAACAGTTTATCTCTGTTGATTCAGAACAAATAGGGAAAAACCAATCACAGAACACATTGAGATTGGTCCCATTTAATTTCAGTGGTAATACTAAATGCTTTATAACATGCTGTCTCATATATACAAATATAACCTACTTAGGGATAGTCGAGCTTAGATCTGGTTTTTAATAGTGGTGAAGGGTTTCATGGAATCATATACAGCTCATTAATTGCAATTTTGACCAAAGCCTATATACTTCCTTAGTGAGAGTTTAAAAAGAACTATGGGGGCTGGAGCCATAGCACAGCGGGTAGGGCATTTTGCCTTGCATGCTGCCGACCCGGTTCGATTCCCAGCATCTCATATGGACCCCTGAGCACCACCAGGAGTAATTCCTGAGTGCAGAGCCAGAAGTAACCCCTGTGCATCACCGGGTATGACCCAAAAACCAAAAAAAAAAAAAAGTACTATGATTCCATTAACTGAGCTCATCTTATGTAAAAAGAGCACTAATACTGCTAAATTGATGCCTATTTGCCACCTATTTTTTTCTTGCATACATTTACAATTGCAGATAGAAGAAGGGCCATTACAGCTAAATAATAAATGAGCACTTTTAAATTATAAGTATGCTTTATGTTGCTGTTTTGTTTTATTTGATTTGTCTGGGGACCACACCTGGAGGGGCCCAGAGTTTATTCCTGGCTCTGTGCTCAGGGATTGTCCTGGTGGTGCTTGGAAAACCATAACCAGAGTTGGGCACATGTGAGAAAGAGCCCTCACCCCTGTACTGTCCAAGTATAAATTTTTGTTATTATTTTTTTAAAGAAAGAAGGGAGAGAAGAAATTGTGTTTGGGACACAGAAAGTGGTGAATTATAATGAGACACACAAGTGTACTTCTTTTATTTATTTATTTATTTTTTGCTTTTTGGGTCACACCCGGCAATGTACAGGGGTTACTCCTGGCTCATGCACTCAGGAATTACTCCTGGCAGTGCTCGGGGGACCATATGGGATGCTGGGAATCGAACCCGGGTCAGCCACGTGCAAGGCAAACGCCCTACCCGCTGTGCTATCACTCCAGCTCCCCAAGTATAAATTTTTAATCTTGAATTTAAGATGGGACAAGGGGAGAAGATCAAATAATTTTTCTAATGATTCTCAAAATAATTTTTTTTCCAAAATGTCCCTCAGCCCTGACCCAAACTGGGATCTGGGAGAAAAACTTAAGAATCAAATCAGGGGCTAGAGCGATAATACAGTAGGTAGGGTGCTTGCCTTGCACAAAGCCAACCCAGGTGGATCCCCAGCACCACACATGGTCCCCTGAGCCTGCCAGGAGTCAGTAAAACACTGAGCACCCACCGGGTTTGGCCCCCCAATTAACAGTCAAATCAATCAGTAAATTTCACTGCAGAAAATAGGTGCTCATACTTACACTGCAATACAACTTGCAGTTTTTCTAAAATTCACATTTAACTGGGCATCCTCTATACGTGCTAAATCTGGCATCCCTGCTAATTTGTGGGGCTCAGGATTCTAGGCAAGAGTCTATTAGGCCCCCATTTAGCACAAGCAACTCTTCCAGAGCTTCCCCAGCCTTTATTTGCTCTATTCTCTTGCTAATAAAACCCCAGCTGTGCTCAAGTGCTCTCCCCATCTACATTTCCGAGGTGGTGGGTGCTGATTAGTCCATCAGTGTGCAACCCAATTAAAGGAAAAGACCCAATATTCAACGGTTTGAAGGAGAGGGGTTCTCCCAATCTATCCTGCAGGAAGAATGAGGAAGCAAGTACACTGGTTGCCACTGGCAGCCATTTTGTGACTAGGAGGAAAAGCCAGCCTTAGATTCAAGCCTACTCACCAAATAAGGCAGAGTCTGAAAATAGAAAGAACTGAGTCGCTTAATTTAACAAACTGCCTTTTCCGTGCGTTTAAGACAGTTAGAGTTTTTATTAGACGCCTCAGAAGCATTCTGTTACAATTGTCAGAGCCCATGAGTGCTACTCATCACTTTATAATAAATAAACAAGTGTCATCAAGATGTAAGATGTCTTTATCCAGGATGGATGTGGGACAAGACTGCAAGATTAAATAAGCCTTCTAATCTTTGTTGAAGAGCATTTATGAAATGCCCGTTTGGGTCTACCCCTCTTAATGTAATCAAGATCTCGGTAAAAAGGTTAAGAATCAAATAAATGTGTAAATGTGTAGTGTTTATAGGAAGAGATGAGCATTAGCTATTCTCTGGCACTGCTCAGAGTTTAAATCTGACTATCAGAAATTACTGTGTTCGCTTAAAGTTCATGCCATTTGAGGAAATGTCATCTATGAAATGCTAGTCCAATACCTCGGTTAAAATTATTAAAGGGGAGAGGGGGCAAGGAGATACCTCAACAAGCTGAAGTGGATACTTTGCCTACAGGAGCCCAAGTTAGATTCCAGGAACCACGTGGTCCCCAGAGCATCTTCTAGTGCGAGCCCCCAGTCCTGAGCTAGGAGTAGACCCCTACCCACCTCAGCACTGCAAGGTGCAGCCAAAAAAAAAAAAACAAGAAAAAAAGACCTATTAGGGGGCCACAGATATAGCTCAGCAGTAGAACACTTATCCTGCATGCATGAAGTCCTGGGCTCTATCCCCACCTCTGCAAAAATATTAATAATAATAAATAACAAATAAACTATTAAAACCCTCTATTCCTTTCTTGCAGGCACTGAGCTAGCTTGACCATGCACAAGACATAAAGAATGGAAATGTCAGCTTCAAAAAGACCCCAGAGGGAACAGCACACCGGAACAGAATGCTATATGAAAGCAGGTGTTGGCAAGGCAGCAGGATGGACTGGCTCAATCCATCAAGTCCCCAGATTCAGATGCCAGCTCTGCTTTGTTTCTGTGAAAACAATTCAATTTCTCTGTGTCACAGCTTCCTCCTCTGCAACATGGGGGTGACGGTGTTGATGATGATGACAAAAATGATGATGATGATGATGATCTTTATGTCATAGATCTAGGCAGGTGACTCTGAGATGCTTAGCATCCATTTTAAGACTTGAAAGACTCGTTGCGACTGGGCAAGCTTTCGCCCATAAACTTGAGGCTCTTTGTTTTTGCTCAGTCACTACGATGACCCACATTTGGAGGCAGACTGGCCAGGGAGGCTTGTGACCTAGAGGATCACACCCTGCCTGTGCTGGTGTGGGCAGAGGGCAGGGCATACGCTGCAGGGGATGGAATGCAGGGCCTCAGGTATGAAAGGTTATCCTCCTCCAATTTGAGCTCTC